GGAATGCCTGTAATATTTCTGTTGAATGAATCTGTTGGGACCTCAAGTTCTTGATGAGCTTGCGAAAACGAGCGCTCCACGCTGAGTTTTGCTGTTTGCCTGAAGTGAACAGAGAATGAATCGTAACACATTCAGGAGAGGTTCACACATGGCTTTCCAGAAGGGAGTTCCAGGTAAATTGGTAGGTCTCTCCCTCCTGCTCACCTTTTCTTAGCCCTGCTGAAGTAAAATGTCTCCTTTGGCTAAATGGAAGTATCTGTGAAGTCAGAAGATGAGGTTACATTTTGAAACAACACTGTTTTCTGTTCTCATTAGAGCCAGAGAAGAGGTGGGTGGCAGTGGAGGAGCAAGCTGTGTGTTTAAAGCTCTGCATTAAAACCCACCTCTTGCCTCCCCCGTGCAGGATGCAGGGCCAAATGCTCTATATGGTGTCCTGGGTGCAACACCTGTAGTGAAGCTGAGCTGATGAGCCAAGCCAGCCCCCAGATTCAGGCAGTCGATCAGAGAAGCCCAGACTGAAGGGCAGTAGCCCAGGGCTGGTGGCCAGTCCCTATGCCCAGCACTGTCTGGAGCACAGAGCATCTTCTCCACACCTACACTAGTGGGCCCATGGGCTCTTTTGCCCCCCCAGGTGTCCCCTGTGCTGAGCCAACCCCTGGTTAGGTGATGACACTGCTTTTTAGAGCCACCGGTGTCACTCAGAAGGGCCACTGTCTATCCAGTGTAATTCTCCCTCCTCAAAACCAATGTGACCCTTAAGACCTGCTACTGCTTCCTCTTAAACCCCTTGCAAGGTTCCTGTTGGTTCCAGGGGCAGCAGTGTTACATCCCAAGGGGAAGAAACCAGACAAACACAAAAAGCAGCTCCCCGATGCAGTCGCAGTCCTGGTGCCAAATAAGTGAAACTGTTTCTTCAAGGCCATGGGTCAAATCAGACCTGGTGAATCATCACAACACACCAAAATGCCACCAGAGTCAACAGGGCTTCTTGGTGTTGGAGAGTTTCAGGACTACAGTTGATAGACAACACGATATTAAATAAGTCATGTGTTATTTTGATTGAAATTCTGCCTTATTTTTAGTGCAAGCAAGGAATGAACCAATTAACCCCTTTTCTGCTATAAAAATCAAGCACGCCCTGAATATTTAAGGTTTTGCTTCATTATATCACTCCTGTAACTGGCAAAGCCTCAAGTCCTCCAAGTTAGCCTTTCATGTGGTTTTTTTGGACAAGTTTCATTTCTTGTTTAAGGAAGTAATAAAAGCAATTTGTCACAGTTTTATTTTTCCAATGCTTTTAGAAACAAAATTGGCAGGGATGTGATCTGTGCTCAATTTGTATCTGTAAAAAAAAAGTAGACAAATAATGAATATATACCTCTGCTATTTTTAAAGATGTATTTTAGGAGCTTTCAGTGAGAATTGGTGGTGGGGGAACTAGTGTTAATTGCTGAAGATGCTACACGTTTGATAGAGAGGGGGTGGTTTTCCTGATATGTTTTTATTTTTTGGGAAAAAATGCTGTGCTAAAATGTGCTTGAGAGTAAAGTGAATTTGACAAGAAACAGCCATTAAGACAGCATCCTTCTAAAGGCTAGTCAGTATTCCTATATTTGTGCTAGGAATTATCTCCTTGGGAGGGGAGAGGGGAGAAAAAAATCTGAGAGAAAAGAGTGGGGACAGCTGCTTCCTCTAAAAAAAGCTTTTCCCAATGGTAAAAACTTGCCCAGAGTCTAACAGTGCAAGTCAGGTGCTGGCTGAGCAGCAAGCTGAGATTTTTGAGTATTTCTTTTAAAAGGAAAGAGAAACTGAAACTTGTTTATGCTTTTGGGAATCGGGAAGTCCTTGGAGTTTTGTCAGTGCAGTTGAGAGTGAGGACTGTAACAGCCTGTCAGGTGAAGCTGGAGGCTTGGGCTCCAAAGTGCTTGCTTTGCTTTAGGGTCCAGCTGCTGTTTTCCAGAGGGGTTTGCTCCAGGCAGCACAGGTTCCTGAGTTTGGGAATTCCTGGTGCTGGGAGGGCGTTGCGGGGTGAGAGGCAGGGGCTGCGGGCTCTGCCTGCCCCTGAACATCCCAGGTCCCAGGCACACACAGCAAGCTTCAACTCCTCAGTACCCAGGGAGATTTGGAAGCTTGGCAACTGGAGTATTCCACGGTGTCTGCTTTCTTCATTGCTTACTGCTCAGAAGAGAACTTGGGTAGTGGGGTACAGCTCTGCTGCTGAGGGGTTGGTGGGTTGTTTTTTTTTAGGGGGATTGATAGGAAGTAGGAGGAAGGTATCATCTAGGCAAAAGAAAGCCCTGAATTGCTCGTGGTAGTTCAGTGCATTAAGAGAAGCAGTGACAGCTGAAGATTTTGGTTGGTACAGAAAGCCAGGGTGCAGTTATGGGATTAGGTTGGGGGGTTCATCTCCCACGCTGAATCCAGACCCGTTGTGTCATCTTGTTTGTTGTGGAGCACAGAAAACAAAGTGGTTGAGTTGCTCTAGTCAATGAGGACATAAAATTTTCCTTGTGAACTCTTCAGTATTCTTGAGAATCATGTTTTCTTAAGTAGATGGTGAATGGCAGATACTGGGAACTACATAAAACAAGTTTATTTTTAAAGAGCCAGGCCAGCAGGCTGTCTTGACCAGCCAGCCACTCTTCTCCTGTAGGTGCTGCCTCAGGATTTTAATTTCTTAATCCATGAGTGGCTGGAAGCTTTTATTTCAGGCACATCTCTTTGTTTCCAGAAGGAAAAGGCAGTATGTAGTCCTCTGGAAGCTGATTGTCAAGAAACCAGTCCAGCTAATAGTGGATGCTGGGAGAGAGATGGGATTAACTGCAGAGAAAGGGCAGGCTGGAGTGAAAAGGCCAGTGAAAAGCCATCAGCCCTGGCTCTAGCCAGCTGAAATTCCTGAGCCATTGCCTAGAGAAAGGAAAAATCCATCTGGCACCTACCCAGGTTAGTCAGGGTAGGAAGAGCCATGCTTGGATGCCTTTTAACAAAAGTGGGAAAGAAAAATCCAACAGCTTGTCCTTCCCCCTCTCCAGTTACCCAGAATATCAAGTCAAGGTTTCATACTGGCATGCTGCTGGATGAGCAGAGGGCAGCTTGATGGGCTAAGGAAATTAAATGCCAGGTTGCTTTCCAGATCATTTGTTTATGGAGATGATCCCAGTAGCACCCACTGCTATGGGATTATATGTAAAGCAAACAAATAACCCAACAAAACATGAACACCCTGAAAAACATTATTCATTTCCAGCCCCACACCCAGCTGTGATCCACAGTTTCCTGCAGTAAAATAATGATCTTTTTCTCTTTGTAATCAAAAAGTCTGCCCCTAGTAGTTCTGCTCTGGGAGGATAAATCTGTGAATCCAGTGTGCAATGAATTATAAGGTAGTCCTGGTGCTTGGAAGCTGTTAGGTGAAAGACACAAAATAAAACATGTATGTTACTGGATTGAATGCAAACTCACCTCCAGCCAGTTATCTTTAATCACTAATAAAAAGGGGCAGAGAAAGCTCTGAAAATACATCTACAACTGAAACATGAAATGCAAAATGTTTCTCCTACGAGCAAAAGGCCTTTGGGGAGGCTGTTGCAAGGCTGAGAGGAGCCAGAGCTACAGCTGGTGCTTTGCTTGAAGTCATGTTGCTTTGCTCTGCTGTTTCCAGCACTAGAGGCAGGGTTGGGGGACATGGAACATCTGGGGCATCCAGAGAGGGCAGCAAGGGTGCAGGCAGGTTAACCTCAGTGTTACAGTACTGGGATGTGGGAGAGAGTTCCTGTCTACAGGACTGATTTTAAAAAGCACTGAGACTGTTTGTGACTGGATGAGGCCAGTAGGTTTTGTAGTTGTAGTCAAGTTATATGTCAATAGGCATATTGGTTAAAAAGTTCCTGACCTGTTTCCTGTGCCCCAGTGTCAAGCAAAACCCCTCCCTGTTAGTGATTCAGCGTTAAAACAAAATACCTCTCAGTCCATTTATAATCACAGTGTCCTCACAGGAGGACTGAGTCAGGGGGAGGTAGCTTTGCTCATCCTCTCTTGCCTTTCCACCCTTTTTGTGTCCTATGCTGCCTCCTCATTCCTAACACAAGGGAGAAAGAAAGCAGAGGCCCTGGTAGCTCTCCCTGGCTTTTCTTTCACCTTGTTAGGTGCAAACAGGGAGAGGGAGAGCACTTCCTTCATCCTGCCCAGGCTTCGGGGTGAGCAGTGCTTCTGGCCAGGAAGCTGGAGCCAA